CTGCAGGTCAACGTGGCGTCCATGGAGGAGAGCCAGCCCTGCCGGACGGCCGTGGCCGTGAGCCAGGAATGCCAACAAATCGTGCCTCACACCGAAGTTGTGGACTTGAAAGCGCAGCTTCAGATGATGGAGAACCTGATCAGCTCTAGTCAGGAGACCATCAAAGTGTTGTTGGGTGTTATACAAGAGCTAGAGAAGGGAGAAGCTCACAGGGAAGGGTGAGTAGAAGCTTTTTTTAATGAGTATGAGCTGACTGAAATGTCTTTTCCACCTTGAGTTTGCTGATGCCAACGCATCCCTGCCACCACGCACGTGGCGCTCCTCACACGGAGTTTTGCTGCTTTAGGAGAAACCTGCCAGCAGCATTCAGATTGCTATCTGCCAGTCCCAGGGTGTAATTAAGTAATTATTTAACGAAAGGCCCATAATACATCTTCCTGTGCCTTTTCTAAGGAGCACAGAACGAGCCGCTCTCCAAACAGGATTAGTGAGGATGTTTTCACATCAGCAACTTGCATTAGCCATAATTCCTCACATGGCATGAAAAGCAGCAGCAAAACCTTAATTCTGTAAGAGACTTACCTTTTTAAGATTAAGGGATATTATTACAACTCCCAGTGTAATTCCCTTAATGGCATATGAATCTCTTCTGGTTTCCTTTCACCTGAATTTTTCATGGTATTTTTATCAGAAGGAAGTGAAATGAAAACTTTGAATATCAATGTCTTTTTCATAACTTTCACACAGCCCTAAACATGACAAAACCAAGAAGAAAGAAACAAAATTGAGTTTAACCCTAGCTTTCATTATTTAAATTAACCCATAAGGCATTACAAGTACTGAACTGTAACTCAGTACAACCTTTAGTCTTTACCCGGACAGTTCAACCCATCTTTTATCACCTTAACCAATATTTTGCAGACTGACTCGCCTTAGTTCCCTCATCTTTATTCAGTGAACATACCTGAAAAATGTATGTGCGCTGTTTGTGTGTTTTGAAATACTTCTGTAGTTAAATCATAATTTGCCAGAAGAGATCAGGGCTTTAAAATTAAGAAAACAGCAGCTCATTCTACAAAAGCAGCACCTGCTTTTGTTCAAGTCAGAAAGGTGCAACTTTAATTTAAATTTCTTTAGGAATGTAGGAATCATGTGAATCCTTAAACTCAACATGTCTGGCATTAAAAAGTGATCTTTGTTGGATCCTGCTGTCAACACGGCCATTGTGCTGTTAGTTTATTTTACAGCTAGCTAGTATTATTATTTATAACCTTATCAATTATCAATATCAAGGACCTTATCAAGTTCTGGATAATCAGACTGGGACATTTCTTGGCCTGAAAGCCACAGGTTTCAATGATCTTAAAGATTTTTACCAACCAAAACAATTCTATAACTCAATTTTTTTAAAAATTATTATTCAAAAAAAGAACTCCCCTGATTTTCTTAAATTAGAGAAACTGCAGGAGCTTTGGCAAGAAGTGCCAAGCTGCTTTTCAAATCACAAAACACAGAAAACTATTTCATCATCATAACTCATCACCCGTTCGTCAAGAACCCTGAGTGCACAAACACCCACACCAGAGCCACCTGCTATAAATACTCTGCTTCCTCCACACAATTACATATCCAGATTGTATCCCTTCCCAATGACAGTACAGCCACAGGTGCAACAAACACAATAAAAACAGACTTTATATTGCCCTGACAGAGCAGAGCTGTCAATGCCGCCAACGTCAGGAGCGCATCCCTGCCCTCGGCACAAAACAGATCTTGGCCAAACTATCCAGGATTGTCTTCTGATAATTCCTCTGCAGCTGTCAGCCTTACAAAGCTGTATTAGCCCTAAAATGGTGAAATTATCCATAAATCCCAGTTTAGAATATCTTTACAGCCTCTTAGGCTCTGTATGGAGTTTGCAAGGCTCCATCTGACCAGGAAGAGCCCATTTAACAGCGCTGCTTCACACCTGGAGCCACCTCCGGCTGCTCCTGCACGCCCCAGACACGTCCCAGACCTGCTGGGCATGCAGGGTGGGCAGGGAAGGAGAAGGAGGGAGATGCACACTCACACATTTTCACATCCCTGCATTCCAGAGCCTTCTGATTTGGTGGCTGTGGATGATTTGGAAGGAGACTGCACAGCTTTGTGCTCGGGACCTTGCGCAGCGATGGCTCTCTCCAGAGCTGGGAGAACACTCTGTTCTCCTGCAAACACCAACACATCATTAACACTCAGCCTGTCTTTATCCCCAGCTCCCTCAAATTACACAACTCCTGCAATAATAGGCTGCCCCATCCTTTTATCAGAGTAATTCTTGCCAATTGCTGCATTCATCCTACACCATCTTTGCTACAGATCCTGTGTAAACTATTACATATCTCCTCAGTGCCAGCATGCTGAGCTTTTTTTCCTGTTGTAATCAGGTTTTAGGTCAGTTTAGATGAAGAAATTAAAGCAGTTCTGCTGTTTATTGTAGCATCTTCCATCTGCTAGAACAGCAAGAGATGTTTTGTACTTATGGAACTCACCTGCTTTTTCTGATGTACAATAAATTCCTTACAGTAACACACTACAAGAAACAAATACAAATAACACGCTGCTGGGAAAGGAAAAAAATATCAAGGGAAAAAAAAAAAACACCAAAAGCAAAAAACAAAGCCCCAACTAAATTTCTTAATCAGATTTTTCTGCCTTTAAGGAAATCAGTGTTCTTTAAGTGCTGTTGCAGTGCCATGGGACCGGTGCTCAGTGGATTCATTTTCACTAATATGCTGTAGGTCCTGAACTGCTATTACTGCAATTCATCACTAAATGAGTCGATGCCAGCAGAACTGTAGCAGCATCTCTGAAGGCAGCGGTCTCATCCTTTGGGTGCCTATCATCTATGTGTGCTTTTGAAAATGTCAGTGCTCCATCATCTGCAATTAGCAACAACAGCCAGCACTCAGCTCTGCTCCAAGGGAAGGGGAAAGCCACTGGAGCAGGAGGGGAAACACAAAAACTGTCATCCCCCTCCCAGTTTCAAAGGACATTATTAAAATTCTGTGTAATGTGCATTGCTATTTACTAAATCCTTGGCAAAATGGCTGTTCTACCTCTCTGTGTGGAAGCTTCTACAAAAAAAAAAAGCAAATTACATCCCAGCAAACATTGCTGGATGCCTTAAGTCATGCATGAAGGAAGTGCAGAGCTGCAGCTTCAATTAAGAGTCCCAGCTCAGAGTTAAAAAAAAACATTGAATATTACATGATGCAGGGTGCAGCTTTACAACACCAACCCAGCCTTATGCTCCAGTTTTATTCTGATAAATCATCAGTGATCTCACTTTACAGACATATTTGTCTGTGTTCAGAGGGAGAATTTAGGAAGCCAAATGTGTGGAGCATCACTAAGGCTGACAGGGCTGCAAGCACAATACAAGTTAATCATTCTAAAACCTGGCTAACAAAGATCTGTGAAATACAGAACAGAAGATGAGCACATAATCAGAATTACTTTGCTGCTGGAGAACAGCAGTGACCTGCCCTTTAAATCCTTCCCGTGGAAGGAACAGTAATCTGGGCCCTCCTCATTATACAACAAATCAGCAATTTTAATAAACAAAGTGCTCAATTTGCCACACAAAAACAAGTCACAGTATTTTGACTCTGCCAGGCCAAATGCTACACACCAGACAAGAGTTAAATGAACCTGTTTCAGAGCTAATTTGCATTCCTCTATTAGTCAGCAGTGGTTCAGGAATTTAAAGAGCTCTCAACAAACTCCTTCGAAGATGTTGTCATGGATGGAATTTAAATGCCATTGCATGTTTTTCAATGACTAAGGGAGTTTTGTGCCTCACATTCTCATTTCTGAGCAGAAAATAAGCCCACATTGTGTGTCTGGATGGAGGTTTGCCCCCAAGGGAAGGGGAGAGCAGGGAGCATCCTCACCCTGAGCTGCTCTGCCAGCCCTGCTCCTCAAGGTCACCCAAACTGATCCTCCTGCTCAGCAGAGATGGCAAATCCAAGTCAGGGAGCCAAAGCAATTATTGCCTGCCTTGTTTGCTCTGCTCCCAGCCCTGCTCTTCAGAGCAGACCAGGGAGACAGAGCAAATCAAGGCAGGAACAACCTCCATCCCCTCACCTTCCAAACCTGGAGATCCTTATTTCACACTGGAGAAAAGGAAGTTAAAAGAGTTCACAAGAGCAGAGCCTCTGAAAGCACAGCCTTTGGGAGTGATGGGTGAGCTGCAGGAATGGCAGCACAGGGCTTGGGTTGGGATTTCCCCCTCTGTGGCTTTGTTTTGCCTCTTTTTCAATTATAGCCCTGGCAAAGGGAACGTTTAACAGGATCACTTCTAAGAGAAAACCTGGAAATGGAGGGAAACAACAGATAAGCTTAACTACAAAAGACAGCTCGCTAGAAATAAATACATGAAAAGCAGAAAGAATAGAGCCAATTGCATCTGGGATGCACAAATTGTGTCATATTCTGAGTGACTGCAGGTTTTGGGAGGCTGTAAGAACAGCCTGGGAAGAGGATTGTGATGAGTGCCTTTATTTCCTGCTGTGACCTTTTCACATCCATCCATTCTGCCTGGAATCATCTCTGAAATGGTCACACTCATTTCATTATCCCCAAAACCACCTCCTCAATTCTTCCCTCTTTTCTCTCTCTGGAGCTGAGGCATTGTTTTGTATTTTTTTATGTTTTGTATTTTTGCCATCATTTACAGCTCATTCCCAAACAGAAACTGTACCAATCCACCTTCCAGAGGCAGAGCCAGGGAATCTCTTTGGATGCACCTTCCTTAGCCAAGAAAAAGGAGTAATTCTGCACAAATGAAAGTTTTGTGGACCTTGTGATGCTTGGGCCAGCGATGGTTCAGTGCTGCTCACTCAACCCAAAGCAGGAGCAGCACAAAGACACCAAAATCCATTTACCTGCCCTCAACATAAGAAATTTGGTTTTCCAAGCTCTGAACCAGCCTTTTCCTGCTCCCCCAAGCACAGCTGGAGCAGAGCAGGCCCACACTGACACCTCAGCACTGGAACTATTCCATAAAACCCCAAAACCCCATGGAGGTTATTCCAGTACCTGCTGCCACTCCATGGGATCCCCTTGATCTCTCGTATCTAAAATTCTCTTATGTAAAAAAATCCCAAACTAACCAGCCAATGAAAGCTGATGATATAAGAGTGATCACTGAAATATCCACTATCACTGAAGGTAA